GAAGAGGATGTGGCCAGGACATCTCCCAGGGCATGACTTCCTGATTAAACATTACACAGAGGTTTGAGAGCCTCAGTATTTGACCTTAACACCAGAACCCTCACTTGACCCATCTACCGAATTATAAGTAGAATGTGGAGGAACTGATGCCACCTGGGTGGCTCCATTAGGGATGAGGCAGATTCAGGAAGCATCCCAAGTTTATAATGTTTAAAACTTCAGACTTTGGGATAAGACTGCCAAGGGCTGACCTAGAGGCGAGACCTTGACTAGGATAATTTCCTGATATATTCTTCTAGGACCCCAAGACTGATGTAGCTTACAGAAGGACCACTAAGGGAGTGCTCTAAGTGGCTCCCTTTATGCCCTTACTATCAAGAGACTATCAAGCCAGTGTAAGCATGCTTCTGTGTGTGAGGGATCACCCATTTGCTTTGCTGAGAGGCCACAGCTGGCAGAAAGTTCGGGCAATGGTAAATTGTGAAGCAAGTTCTTAGCCACCTGTGGGCGTGGGCAAGACCCCCTGCTTTAGGGTGAGAGCTGAGCTCAAATAATCAGTGGGAAGAGATGTGACTTCAAGAACAAGAGCGTGAAGGCAGGAGAGTCAGGCCTTGGGGCTGGGAAGACGCCCAGTTGGTAATGTGCTTGCTGTGCCAGTGTGAGGACCTGAGTTTGATCCCCAGCACCCATATAAAAAGCGAGGTGTGGGGCCCGGCATGGTGGCTCATGCCTTTAATCCCAGCTCTTGGGAGGCAGAGGCAGGTGGATCTCTGTGAGTTCGAGGCCAGCCTGGTCTACATAGCAAGTTCCAGGTCAGCTGGGGCTACAGGGAGACCCTGTCTCAAAAAGGTTAAAAAAAAAAAAAAGCTAGGTAGGGTGGCATATGTTTATAATCCCAGCACCAGGGAGGCAGAGACAGGTAGGTCCCTAGGGCTCTGGATGCTAGCCAGCCTTAGGGCTAATCCTTAAAGAAAATAAACTGGGAAAGGGACATTCCCTTGTCGCCTCTCTTAGCGGTAGGGTTTATTAGTTTCCTTCTTATGACTGCAACAAAATACCTGACAGAAGCAATTTAAGAAAGAAAAGGTTTATTTTGGCTCACAGTTGACAGCATGGTCCATCACAGTAAAGTGGGTAAGTCGTGGGGGAAGGTACTTGAGGCAACTGGTCAGTTTGCATCTGCAGTCAGGAAGCAGAGAGATGAATGTTCCTGCTCAGATTGCTTTCTGTTTTTCAGATCAAATTCTCCCCTTATTCAGAATAGTCTAGGACCCAAGCCCATGAAATAGTGCCACCCACATTTAGGTTGGGGCTACCTACTTTAATTAACCTAATGAAGAAAATCCCTCACAAGCATGCACAAGCATGCACAGAGGCTAACTTAATCTAGATCATCCCTCACAGGTATGCCCTGAAGCTTGTCTCCTGGGTGCCTCTAAATCCTCTCAAGTTGTCAATTGATATTAGCCATCACAGAAGGCAAGGATTAAGTTCATTGCTAAACCATTATTGGTTCATGCTGCAAACTATGAGCCCTTGTTAAATACTCAGACCTGAGCCAAGTGCAAGAGGCATGATG